CTATTGCCAAAAACTAGAAGCAGCCCAAATATCCATCAGCTGGTGATGAATGGATAAACAACATATGGTATATCTATGCAGTGGGATATTTAGCAATAAGGAAGGAATGAAGTACTTACATATGCTACAAAGTGGACGAACCTTAAGTACATGTTAATTGAAAGAAGCCAGTCACAAAAGACTACATGTTGTATGATTCCATTCATATGAAATGTCCAGAATGGGCAAACCCATAGACACAGAAAGTAGATTAGTGGTTTCAGAAGTCGGGGGGTTGGCGGAGGAAACAGGGAGTGACTGCTCATGGGTATGAGTTTCTCTTTGAGGTAATGAAATGTTCTCACGTTCAATAGTCATGATAGTTGCTCTGTGAATATACTAAAAACTTTCAAAAGGGTATATTTTATGGTATGTGAACTGTATCTCAAAGCTGTGATTTAAAAAAAAAAATGTATTGATGGGGGAAATGCTTCATTCCTTTTCATTTCTTGACAACTCCATTGTGTCCCCAAGTTCATTTCAGGATGACTTCCTAACACTGCTGAATGATTATATGCTTAAAGTAACCCCTGGTTTTATAAACTGCTATAATAAGCATTGCCTTAAAAAGGTTGTAGTTATTAGAGTACTTGGATATTTATTTGGGGACTTCTGTAATATGTACCATAGATATATGTACATGGTCTTAGTTTATCAAGCAAATTTATTATCTTTTGAGTAGAATAAAAAATACATAGCCTCAGAAGGTATACCTTCTTTTCTGTAGAAAGTCTTAAACACGGGATTGCGTGGGGGTCCTGATTTCTAGGTAGTCCGTCTTTGCCTGTGTTACCAAAGGATCGTGACTTGGGGTTTGTGAGGATTGGCGGCAGGTTTTCAGAGCCCACTCCCCACTGTGTCCTCTGCTTGCCTGCAGCTGCTTTTTCTCAGCTGCAGTCCTCAGCCCCCTGCCTCTGGCTCAGATTTGTTCCTCAGGGCATTTGTGCAATCGTAGGAACCTCATCAGGCTGAGAAATGCTGAGAACCTTGGGCCTTAGCTAGCTCTCCAGGCCCCGAACCGCCCCCTCTTTCTCCTAAAGATCTTCAGCGCACATCACCCACAACCTTTTGTGGCACCAGTAGCCACTAGGAGTTTTTTCTGGCTGTATCAGCCATGTTCAGCAGAGACAGAGCTCAGCCCTTGGCCCCACATCTGAGCTTGAATACAGTACGTGTGGACAAAGTACAGAAGGATCTTGATCCTTGGTTCCCAATTCTAAAATGGGGCGGGACATGGGAGTGACTGCCTCTCAGATTTGGTGGGTTAAGTGAGATAAGTGCAGAGTGCCTCCTCGGTGACTGTTCGCAGCTGTTGAAGCTTCATGACCGTTACACTGGCCGAGTTCCCTCTTACCTAACCTGACCAGTGAGGTGCTTTTTTTTTTTTTTTAAAGATTTTATTTATTTATTAGAGAGAGAGAGAGCACAAGCAGGCAGAGGCAGAGAGAGAAGCAGGCTCCGCACTGAGCAAGGAGCCTGATGCGGGACTTGATCCCACGACCCTGGGATCATGACCTGAGCCAAAGGCAGCGGCTTAACCAACTGAGCCACCCAGGCGCCCCAGTGAGGTGCTTTAAGGACCTCACCCAGTGAGGCGCTCTCTAACCTACCTCAAGGACAACCTTCACCATTTCTACCTGAATAAGAGATAGTCCCAGCCCACAGAGTACTTACACATCTTACAAAACAAATGAACAACAACAACAACAACAAAAACATTTTAAAAAAATGTGTCCAACATTTGGCAAGTCCCTGAAAATCCTAAATCTCAGTTTGGGCTAGTAAATAAGATTTTTGGCCACAGGAAGCCGAGCTGAGTTGGTGATGGCAGAGAAGCTTCCTATGCCAGGCCTGCTGAAAGTGGGAATGCAAACAGGCTCAGCCTTCCTTTCTTCCACGCCACGATCCAGTGTGAAGGCCCATCTCTGCAGCTTTCATAAAGAATGCATTTTTGGAGATCGCATTTACTTTCTTTCCCACATTGAGAATTTATCCACTCAACTCTGTTACCCAGCTTATAGTAAAAAAACAAAAACAAAAACCAAAAAAAAAAAACCTTTAACACATGTGCTCCTTAGCATTTAGAGGGAACATGATTCATGGTTTGGTGCTCTGAGAATCTGATGCCTCTTTACACCTTAGCACACGAACTGGAAGGAACGGCACGTTCTGGCGGCTCTGACCAAAAGCAGTAGAGAGCAAAGTTCCTGATCCTTGCCCCTCATTTTTCATATCTGGGCAAATTTTTCAGATTGTTTTGCATTTTTTTTTTCCTATTACTGTGCATAGATGTGAGGCGTGTGCTCACTTCCTGCCGGGGTCTTCTTTCTTGGCTTCTCTCTGTAATTAACGCACTCCATTATGTCGCTCTCATTTCTTTGTTTATTTCGCCTCCAGAATAAAGAGTTTGTGTGTCGAGGGCATGACTACGAAAGGCTGGAGGCCTTCCAACAGAGAATGCTGAATGAGTTCCCCCACGCCATCGCCATGCAGCACGCCAACCAGCCCGACGAGACCATCTTCCAAGCGGAAGCTCAGTGTATCCACACCTAGACGGGCTGCACTGCGGTTAGAGCCACGGGCCGTTAGCCGCAGAGCAATTTCCTGCAAGGAAAGCCTCTGGCCCCTTTGCTGTGTTCCCACTCTCTCCCTCTTTCTCACTCATCTTGATTTTAACTTAGCTCCTTCTGAACAGAATTGTTCTAGTTATTGTCACAGTGTCAGTGGAAAGGAAATCCCTTGAGGATTCTGGTAAAGAATTTTTTTTCCTTTTAATTAAAACTTTTCCTTATCTCCGCCCTGCTTTTAAAGCTTCTTTTAGTGATTTCCCTTAGAATAATTTTCCTCCAACATATCCTGTGGAAAGATTAACTGGCACATATCATTCACCCCCTTTTCCCTTGATATTTTTATTCTGGAAGGAAGTACAGAGAAGAAGGTACCTTAATATCTTTGGGGAATTCTTGGCCATGGCATTTTGGACAGCCTTTGATGACTGCTATATAATTGACACTTCCATTATCTAAATACAAACAACTCAACTGAAATTACCCAGGCACTGGAGACAAAGGGAATTCACCCCAGCACTCCTTTGTGAATGCTTCTATCTCTTCCCTAAACTTAAGATCTGGGAGAAGACAAGAAAAGCCCATTGATAATCATGGATACCATTTCAAAGTAGAAAATAAAATGCAGCAGAAGCAAGAAATTAAGGGAAAAGATTTTGTTCTCCTTCTTTGAATGAGAAGAGAAGAAGGTAAATATACAAGTAAATAGGATACCCCCTTTTTAAAATTTAAATTTAAATTCAATTAGCCAACACACAGTACATCAGTTAGTTTTAGATGTAGTGTTCAGTGATTCTTGTGATACCCCTTTAATGTACTTTTTAAAATATCAACTACAAAAATGCTTTGCTTATCAGTACAAGCTTTGGGAGAGTGATACCACAAGTGTGGGAAGGCTGGAGACACAGAGCTTCACACAGGTAAATAGAAATCATTGTCAGAACTGGCCATGTCTTTGGTCATGGTTGCATGGATATTTATACATTATTTTACAAACATTAAATTAAGAGGGGCCATGCATGGACTAAAGATAAAATTGTCTCTTAAGGTTTAGAATAATTTTGAGTACCTAAGATCCAAGCCATTCCCACCCAACCCCCAACTAAGAAAAGAAAGAAGAAGAAAAATTAGCAATAAATAAATTCACAACGTATGGACATTTTAGCCAGATACTTTGTCAGAATCACCTACCTAAAACTAGTTCAAGACCTATAGTTTGAGAAATGATTTGTTGCGAACTGAGTTCTTGGCACCTTCTTGGCAGTTTTTAAAATGACTTTGACCCAGGGGAAACACCAGATTGTTACCCAGCCTCGGTTCTCTGCCACAGCTCAGCTCAAGCCAGATTTCCTTGGCGTTTGCCAAGTCGGGTTTCCTCCTTGACTTTTTAATCCTAGATTTGCAGATCTATGCCGTGACTCCCATCCCGGAGAGCCAGGAGGTCCTGCAGAGAGAGGGTGTCCCAGACAACATCAAAAGTTTCTATAAAGTGAATCACATCTGGAAATTCCGCTATGACAGACCATTTCACAAAGGCACTAAAGATAAAGAAAATGAATTCAAGGTACCGTGCGTTATTACATACAGTTTCCTATGAGCTCTTTGGAACAAGCCCCACGATAAGTATTTACACAGAATAGAGTTAAGTGATAGAACCAGAAGGGACCAGAAATCATTGAGTCTCGTTGATCTCAAACTCAACGGTATATCAGAGGGCCGTGGGATGCTTTTCTAACCAAGCAGAGTTCTTAGCTCAGGAATCCTGACTCAGTAGGTCTGAGAGGAAGGCCTGGGAATCAGCTTCTTTGTGACAGTGCTGGTGGCCCTCAGACCAATCTCTGAGATGTCACAGTTGAGCTTAGTCCTGTCACTCATTCATGTTGAACAACTGTGGGGCTCACAGGATATTTGTTCTCAGATACAGTAGTCTGCAGTGAGTAAAAAATGCTTGACAGAAGGGGGACGAAGATTCTGAGACAGGAAGCAGTAAGGTAGACGGCTGTTACCTTGGAAGATTTCTGTGCGATCTCCTGCTTTTTCTGGTTAGAATGGTGTGTCATTAGGACTTCTGAGAAGACATGGAATGAAAGCAAACCACAGACTCCCTGCATGTACAGAGTTGTCCATTCTCAGTAGCTGTGATAAGCCTTGCCCTCTGGAGCTCTCTTGGGCTGGCTCACAGCCCTACTGGGGCATTGTGCCGAGGGTACATTATCTCTTCCTTGATAACAGTGACCAAGTGAGACCAGGTAGATCCCTGGTTAGTTAGTATTCCCCCCTACAAAGAATGCAAAACAGACCTATTCCTGTGGGTTAACTGGCTTAGCTCCCTTCATCACAGAGTCTCTACTTAAGCTGGAAAAGGTCCTCCTCACAGTATTAGCAGAGATCCTCTGATGTTAACTGTCCTCGTTGCCTCTGCCTGCATGTCAGTTCCCAGCAGTAGCTCCAGGAATGGGGCACAGCCCGGCAATCAGAAGGGGAAGCTGGGGTCATTCTGCAGCGTCACGATGGGCCTCAACACAGAGCAGTCCTCTGTGCAAGGAGGTCTGATGGGTTACCTATCAAGACAAAGAAACTATTGGAAGACCGTACCGGGATGTCATTGAAAAGATTCATGATCACTTTCTAGTCCTTTTGGAGATTTACATTTTTCTTTGTGTCCCATAAAACCAGTTAACGGTCATTAGTTTATGGTAGCATTTTCATTGCAATTGTGTTCACTGAATAGTAAGTGTGAGATGCACTGGAGTCAGGCACATTCTAACTACCCGCAGACCCTCCACTACGACCCACACCTTCTAGAACCTTCTCCTTTGTACTTTCTACTGCAGCACATTTCCTCATGGCCATCACTTTATCAGTGGTATAGCAGTCCCCCTAGAAAATAATGATAAATCTGGCTCCTTGATCCTGGACTTCCAGCCCTCAGCATCTGGCACCAAAGTGCCCTTCCAGAAGCCTCATCTGTGCCACAGCCCGCTCTTATTACACCCTCCCTCTGGGCTCCAGCAACCCTGAACTTACTTCTCCATCTCGTGCTGTGCCCTTTCCCTTTCTCCAGCCTCTTGCAGGCCTCTGCGCGGGCTGCTTCCTGCTGCCTGCCGTGCTCCCCGCTCCCTCCGCCTGGCAAACTCCTACACACTCTTCAACATTCCGCTCACGTGTCACCTCCTCTGAGAAGTGCTGTCCTCCTCCCACCAGCTGCTGTGCCTGCCTGCTTCCTTCTGCTCTCCCCCAGCACTGCAAGCATTCCTTTCTCTTTGCCCTGAGCCCTTCCCTGGCCACTCACCTTCCTGTCACCACTGTCACTGCTGTCACAGGGACTCTGCCATATTCCTTGCAGTATATTGTGGCTGACACGAAGAAATCCCCCCATTTTCTGTTGTTCTGGAATAAGTGGCACTATTTCAGGGATTTTGTGAAGTTTATTATCCTCTTGAGAAAAAGGAGGCATAGACACAGAAATGGGATTGACAGAAGAGAAATCTGCCATCCACAGTGACTCTTACCAAGGACCAAGGCAGCTGTGGCTTCATGTGTCATGGGGATGCTCTCCTGGCCAGAGGAAGCCTCAGCTCTTTAAATACAGATCCTCCTGGATGATGGCAGTTGAAATGGGCATGAGAAAATGTGGCACAGTGAGGTCGGAAGTTCTAGTAGGTAGGGTCTGGGAACTAGAATGTACCCCCTGGGGGGTCACATGGCCTCCTTGATGTTTAGCCTCTTCCTCTTTAAAATAGAAAGATGGATCTATGTGATTCTTCATGGTCCTTTCCTCCGTGACTGTGTTGACTGGCTGTCGATATTACCCCTTCCAGATAAAAATGGCAAGACCTTAAGGAGTGAGGGGGGTTTAAATTGGAATTTGAAAGAACCAGCAAAGGAAGTAACATGGTAGCCTATTACTCTATTTTAAGCTTGCTGTCTGAAGTCGACCATGTAGTCCGTGAAGGAAAAATTGTCTGGCAGCACAGAAAGGGAATGATTAACACAGCGTCATTGATATCTTACTGTGACAGCTTCACGAGTATGAAGGGATTGCCCACAGACTAGAAGGGATACTAAAGAAAAGCCTACAGAAATAAGCAAACCTGACCAAATTGAATGGCTGACGTTAGTCATAGCTCAATAACTAGAAAGAAAGGACACTTGGGGACTTAATTTGTTTTGTATTCCGTAGAGTCTCTGGGTGGAGAGAACATCATTATACTTGGTGCAGAGTTTACCTGGAATTTCCCGCTGGTTTGAAGTGGAAAAGCGTGAAGTGGTAAGCCTCAAAGCTCATTCTCAAGTACTTTCCCATCACACTTGCTCAGCAGGAGTCAGGCCATATATTAATTGCTTCTGCTGTTGACTCTGAGTCCCCAGAGGCACACAGAGTAAGGTAGTGAATGCTTATGGTATTGACCCCTGTGACCAAGGCTTGAAGGGGAACGTGACTTATCCTAGTCCAGCCAGCAAGAGGCATTCCTCAAAGAGAACTATGACCACAGTATGGAAACATGGCAGGCCCTTGAGTCAAGGAGCTGGAATTCAAATTACTGTAGGCCACTGGGAAGAGGTTCTCTACCTTGCCTTATTTAATCATTAATCATCCTACCGAAACTATAAAGTATATATCCCACCCACTCTTCTTACAAGTTTTCACCAGAAGCTAAAAGCATCAAGACGTTGAGAAAAGATAGACTGGAACCCAGATTGTCCCACCTTGAAAGCCAGTCCCATGCATCTCTTTGAGCTCAGTTTCCTGACAGGCTGGTGCAGGGCCACAGCTTGCTGTCTGACATGCGGTAGCTCTGGGCTGCTCCTGATGGCAGTGGGGGGAAGGCAGCTGTGTGAGTCTCACTGAGCCATCCTGGATGAACACCAGCTGGAAACCAAAGGGTGTTCTTCTAGAACCTGGAAACCACAGCACTCAAGAACCCTTCAGCTTGTTCAAAAGGCCCCAGTTTGGGTGCTGATGGCAGTTGTATCGGGGTGAGACGTAGCCTGCTGCCTGTGTCGCTCCTCTGGCTGGCAGCACCGTGATGGCAGCAACCAAGCACCGTCCTCCCTCCCTTGCTACATCCATCTTGACTGAAACCAGCCCTGAGACTGCCGTATCCTGTAGCTGATCAAAACCACGAGAGTTGTGAAAATATCACTGAACCCCTTTCTTACTGAGGTAACAAGCCTCCTCTGTCACAGAATACGTAAGAGCAGCTCCTGCCCAAATGGCCTTCCAAACTTGGAAACCGCTCATCTTATGTTCAGTGAAGCTGAGGATTTAGTGGCATTTTCCTTTTACAGTGCTGAAAAATTCCCGTGGCTTCCTAAAGAAACGGAACTCAGTTCAGTAGACTGCCTCAATGTAGTCCCGTTCTTGGAGGGTCTGAGTCAAGGGTCCCCAAAGCTGGTTGCTTCCATGGTATAGCCTGGTACCTTGCATGGACGAGGGGAGGCTGCTGAACAGTCTCACAGTCTTATTATGCTTCCTGCTGAATGGGCCCAGCCCACAGAATGTTCTTAGTCATCTTGGACTGCATTAATGATGCAGAGAGCCTCTCCGGCTACTTAGTACCCAGAATGTTAAACTCTCTGAGGCCTCACCAATGGTCCTAACCCTTGAAATATTACCCCCTACCTCCCCCTCCCCTTCCCCCGTCACACACACACACACACACACACAATATTCATAAAAAGTACCATGCTGATGATTAAAGAAGCATGACAAAATACAACCTTTCAAACATCAGCTGCCTACTTTATTAGAATATATAATCTTACATTCTTTCAAACAGAACAAATTAAATTGGACTACTTTGTTCCCTGAACACAGCCCACTCATAACAACCTTATGTCTTTCTCTTGTTCCCACTGCCTGAATGTCCTTACCTTCTACTAAAGTTGCTGATTTACTGCTTCATTGCATGGTGTAGAAGGCCCTCAAGATCAGGGGCACATAGTAGGTACTAAGTAAATGTATGCCAACCTGAATTGAAATTCCTATGTACAATGCCAAAATCTATAAGATTCTGAAAACCAAAAGATGTTTTCCTAAGTTCAGCTCCAAACTCCATTGGTAATAAGCCTGACCTGATCTGATGTAAGACCATTTGTGATCTTTATTTTGCTTAGTATGAATATTCGTATGTCTTACTGCAGAAATGTTAATGCATTTGGTTAAAGAGAATTTCCCCAGACCCTGTTTGAGAATTACATAATAGACTCCACATGCTGTATATTACATTTCTAAAACCTGAAATTTTCTGAATTGTGAAACATCTGGCATCAAAGGTTTTAGATGAGATTATGGGCCTTTATTCTCTAAATCATAGCCCCAAAATATATGATCCCATTCTTTGAAAGATAACAATGCCTTCAAACTATTGTTTTTTCAATAATTGTTCTTATTGTCTTGAGAACCAACAAAAAAAATCAACTTTTCCTGGTTAATAAGTAAGCTCATTTTAAAAATTTTAAACAAAAATTTAAAACTACAAAAGAAAGGTATGATGACTTTTTAAACTCCAGCTACAGATAATGAGAATATTTTCTCATGTCACATAATATCCATTAGAAAATCATGTGGCTCTACTTTCAGAGTATATGCAGAATCCGACCCCTCTTCACCAGCCCCCAGTAATAGCGGCATCTAGTGTGTGATTTCTGCAATAGTGTCCTAAGCGGTCATGTGTTTCTACCCTAACCCCCTACGGTCATTTTTGTGCACAACATCCAGTGTTGTGCTTTTAAATTTAAGTTGTATCGTATAAACGTAAAGAAAATATATTATGAACATGATTTACCCATCATTTTACTTAAACAACTATCAAAAAGACCAGTTTTGTTTTACCAGCACCACCCTGTTTTATACAGGATTATTTTAAAGTAAATCTCAGACATCATATCATTTCATCTATAAATAATTACGTATATTAACTAAAACACATAACCACAATATCATACATGATCCCATCTAAAAATTAACAGTAATTCCTTGACGTAAGATATCAAGTCAGCATTCACACTTCACCAAGGGTCTATTTATTTTATGAGTTTTGTTTTTTTTGTCATATGTTGTTTGAATTCAGATCCACGTAAAGGCCATACATTGCAATGGGTTGAGAGGTCTCCTAAAGTTCTCTTGATCTATAGGTTCTCCCTGAATTTTTTTTTTTTTTTTTTTTTTTTGCATTGCAATTTGTAGACTGAGCCTTTGGGGTAATTTAACGTGTTTCTTTGTCCCTATATATTTTTTGTAAATTGGCAGTTAGATTTAGAGGCTTGATACAATGTTGTTATTTTGGATTTTTTATTTTTATTATTTTTTTGCAAGAATACTTCATAGGTGGTGTTACATGCTTCTGGTTGTCTCTTTCTTGTTGCTGTGTTGGCAGCCGCCGATGGTGATGGTCTTACTCTATTAGGTATCACAAAATGGTGCTATTTTAGCATTCCCTCTTTGTTTATTCATTGGAACACTTCTATAATGAGAAACGTTCCCTCATCCACTATCTGATTACCCTGAGGTATAGCAAAGGAAGGATAATGTGCTATAGAAGTAACCAGAGAAGTTTTTGTTTGTTTGGTTTTGTTATTAGTATCATTAGTAATTCATGGGTTTATTTTTTTTAATCCACTGCAGTTATCACTCTTATTAATTTTTCAAGCTGTTCCATTTTGCCCATTGGGAGCCTCTTCAAATTGACTTTGGAGTCTTTCTGATAATATCCCAATAGTTGTTACAGAGCTAACACGAAGAACTGGGTTGTCAAATCAGATGTGGGAA